GAGAGCCATTCATTTTCAGGATCATTTCTCTTAAAGCTCAGAAAGCAGAGGTTTCCTGACTGAACTCAGTGCCTCTGCCAGCCAAGATGAAAGGCTGAGGCTGTGAGGACTCACATGCCCCCTGCCTATTTTTTGGACTGCACTCAGAAAATAGTTTCCTCTCGCTGAGCCTCTTTAAGTGCTTTCATAGTCATCGATGGTGTTCTTTAGCCACGGCATGAAGCCAGGCCATTTAGTGTCTGGCTCTCTACAGAAGCTGGCTGTCCTGGCAGCACACATGGAGAGGAGAATAAGCGCTCTCATGTGAGTGCTTTTGCCCCATGTCCTGTGCCTCTCAAGTGCTGTATTGAGGATACACACAGATGTTAATTGTAGGAACTGAAGAAACCTTAAAGAGATCATCTGATAGTTCCTCCTGTTGTTTCATAGATAAACAGAACCAGAAGGGTGAAGTGACTTGTCCAAAACTCACATGGTAACAAAAGATACAGGATCCAGGCCTTCTGCCTCTGGTTCACACTAAAGTTGATATGTATACACTTAAATCATATTTCTTTGGCTCTCCACAAAGTATGTTGTGGGACATAGTTTACTCTTTATCATCTTTTAGGACAAAAAAATTAACCTATAGAACAAAGCTGTTAAGTTTTAAGGAAAATAATGTATTATTTCACACATTTGAGATAGTATTTAAATGGGCTTTTTTTTTTTTCCTTCATACTCACTAAAAGCAAAAGTTTTTCTGTTGATAACATTTTATCATCTAAGATGTGTACTCTAATATTCTAAAATACAGATCAATAATATTGTACAGGTATGGCCACAGTGTAAACCTCAAGTGAATTTTTGGGAAACCATGGTTAGGAGCTCTACTCATGACTTTAAATATATTTTGAACCTGTAGAGTGTTATTCATAAAAAGCCTTATCTGTAATGGGAAAAAAAATCCATTGATAATGACTTCCTTGTGGAAGAGAACAGGAGGAAAAACTTTATAGTTAAAATTTTCATTTAAGATCAGTTCATACTTTCCCAGGTCTTGCTTACAATATTCAATAATTTAAATTACATTATTTTTTATTTTTAGAGAATGTAAGTCCAAAACACAAAATTCAAAAGTAATGTACAAAAATGGTCAACTACCTCCTTATATTAATCTTTAGCGCTGTAAAATGCCTCTCAGAGATTTTATTCTTCTGTTTCAGAATGACACAAGTATCTTAAATTTTAGCGTTTAGCATAAAACTCACATGGGAAGAGATGTTTATTGTTCCTTTCTTTCTTTTAAAAAATGCTATTAGTTGCTCTAAATATCTCTTGAACCTTTTGTTACAGTCCTATTGTATAAATATTTTAGTTCTTCAATC